TTAGTTTAGCAAGACAATCTTTTGGTGGGATCAATGCAATACACTGGACAATAATTGTGAGACTCAACTTAAGAGTATGACATGTTAAGAAATCCAAGAAATCTTCAAATTTTTTAATTTTGTGCTTGCTTTTTGAGATAGTGGAGTGGAATTTTAGTTTTGAAGAGAGAATCTAAAAGTTCTCCTTTGTATGATGTATGAAAAGTGAAGAAGTTAAATAGTGATGAGTTATAATTGATTTTATATTAAAAAAAGAATATAACGGTAACTAATACTTGTATTAGTGTTTAAAATTTGCATTAAATATAATGTATTAGTATTGAATTTGAGTGATTTTTTTAATTTTTTCCACATAATCTTGTAGGTACCGTTTGACAAAGAGTTAAGTGAGAGGTTAAGGAGACTTAACACTTTCTTAACCCGCCAAACACAAAAAATCTATACAAGAGTTAAAGTGAGTTAACCCTTCATAATTTGCCAAACATAAAAAATATAGAAGGGTTAAGTTAACCCAGTGAGTTAACCCTTCATAATTTGCCAAACATAAAAAATATAGAAGGGTTAAGTTAACCCCTCTAGAGGGATTAAAATGAGTTACATAATTTGCCAAACATAAAAAATATAGAAGGGTTAAGTTAACCCCTCTAGAGGGATTAAAATGAGTTAATCCCTCAAAATGAGGGGTTTACTAATATTCCTATTTAGAATGATTAAGAGTTAACTCTTCTAATTATAAAGAAAATAATCAAAATCATTGTTATTCCCAAACACTAAAACTGATCTCAATGGCTAAAATAAAACTTACTTAACGGTTTAATAATTTAGTCCTTCAGATTATCGAATGAGCTAAATACATTAATCCTTCTTTTTTAACCATTTGCTAAAAGAGGTCTTAGTATTTTTAAGATAAACCGGACCTACATGTACCAAATCCTTCTAAATCTCGTACCAAAGATGGGATATCTGATGAAGGTCATCATGGCAAATTTGCAGAGGTGGCAAACTTTTGTCTCCTTCCCAAAACAAAACAACCAAGCACGAAATTTCTTTTGAGATTTCATTCTGACACATATTTTTTGAGTTGGGTCCCATTTCCTGACATGTTATCCCTAAATCAGTACTAAGGGGCCTGTTTGTTTCCATAATTTTGATGGATTTTGCAATAAAAAAGAGTCCCACGAGCATAAAATTTTATACTTTTATCATATATGTTGTTTTATTATTATTTTAATGCCAAGGATTTGGCATCGCTATAATGCATTAAAGATGGTTTCCTAAAATTATGCTAATTTCACTCGAGCTTCTAATTTTAGTCATATATCCTTAATAAAATGCCTGCGTAATCAAACAAAACTTGATTAAATTTTACCACTCATACAAATACACATTGATATTCTTCGCAATAACATATAATATTTTAAATATGAATTTTTAAGCCATAGAATCCATCAAAATACAACCCACGAACCAAATAACCCCTGACTGAGTCGTGGGAAATAAACGCACCCTAAAGTGATAGATTTATAACTAGTGGCATGTGTATGTGGTATCAAGCAAGACCACCATGCGTGCATATCAAAACTACCCATGCTAATCTGAACTGCATAATGTAGGGAGAAAATTCTCATTTTGTCCCTCGTTTATCCCAAGTGCTATTTAAAAATGTCTACTCGCGTGTAGTCAGTTCTAATAAAATTCTAACTCATCAAATTAGAGTGCATAATGCATTTGATCTCAGACTCAGAAGAGAGATTGTAACCTGGTGGAGCCTACTCATAGTGAGAGAGAAAGTTATGTAGTTTCTCTCTCTCTCTCTCTCTCATTTAAATGACCGCATCCATTGAATACACTAACTACATATCTGGGCTTTTATGTTTCATATCTTCGTACAATATCTTTGTACATCTAGTTTGCACAACCATTTTTAGATGGAATAATGGTGTGAATTGTTGAATTCGGATTACTACAGTTCCACACACTTTTATGAGATGAAAACTTGGATTCCGCGCTTTGGCTTTCTAGAAGATAAAGATTACTTCTATTTTGCCTACATTGTTTGGGCTCCTTTTCCCCCCTTAATCTCTTCTTTTATTTCGTTACAGTTAGCTATGGTTTCTTTTATATGTGACATTTTCTCTTGTACTTTCTGGGTTGTTTTTATTTAATTCTTTTTAAGGGAACACAAGGGTAACTACTCACTGTTTTTTCTTACTAAAAAGAGATTGCTCTCATTTTTCTTGTTATAGATTTTGTAGTTGTGTCAAAAATGTATTCGTCCGTTACTCTACGCATTTGTTTCTCTATGTTTTGTTATAATTCTTGTAATTTTTATAATGAGTTTCTTCTTACATTTTTTTATTTTACTTGTGCATTTACGCAATTATGAGTTTCTTTACAGCTTCTGACCTAAAAGTGTGAAGCACGTTGAAATTAGCTGTTTTCCTAATTTGATTTCATTTCTCAATAAAGTGGGCATCATGTGCTATAAAAAATTAGTCTACAGTACAACCGTGTACCATGTGTTATAGACTAGTATCACATTGGATATGTTCATCTTCTCGCAGGCGTCGTGGGCCTCGTGGGATTTTTCTCAGTCCAGAGTATTGAACAGATTTACAAAATCATTTGTGTATTCGTTTGGTACCTAAAACATTGCTAGCCGCCAAAATTCAAAAATAGAATATTTCCTATAATTCATGGAATCTTCATTACGTTCCGGCATATAAAGTCCATGCGAAAACCGTGAGTTGGGATTGTAGGCTTATATTTTGAGGTCGCAGAAACCTCAATATACGGACAGTGGTATAAAATAAAGTTTATACTGTATCTATGCGGTTTTCGTGATTCTACTTATAAATTTATTTTTCTCACCCTCTCCCTCTCGTTCTCGTTTTTTCGGGTGGCCATGGCTTCTTCATCTCTCTCCTCCCTCTCTCTCCCCTGCTTCTCAGCAAAAACCAAAACCCTAATTCTTCCTTCATCTCAATTTCTCTCTCCTCTCTCTTCAATCCCTCAATCTCGCCGCTCAGTCTCCACTCTTCGCCCAGTCTCCACTCTTCGCCCAGTCTCTCCGATCTCAGCCGTCCAATTGGAGGCCCAAATTACGAAAAACCCCTCAAAGCCCGCTCCTTTACTTCCCTTTAGGGTTGGCCATGGCTTTGATCTCCACCGCCTCGAGCCCGACCGCCCTCTCATTATTGGTGGTATCGACATCCCCCATGATCGCGGCTGCGATGCCCACTCTGACGGTAAAAATCTCATCTTGAGAATTAGGGTTTTATTTTGAGGGAGAGTTCGGGTAAAAATCCCATCTTGTTTGTTTACTTATTTATTTATTTTGTAGGTGATGTTTTGCTTCATTGTGTGGTGGATGCGATATTGGGGGCGCTAGGGCTCCCTGATATCGGCCAGATTTTTCCGGATTCGGATCCGAAGTGGAAGGGCGCTGCTTCTTCTGTTTTCATGAGAGAAGCTGTGAGTTCTTTTTATTTTAGGGAAAATTTGTTTTTTTATGTGTTTTTATTGTTGTTAGCTTTATTTTTGTTAGTGTTCATTCATGCTTAGTTTTTCTTTATATGAAATTTTTAATCATGTACTATCCATGGAGGATGCGCTCTTCAAAGTTCAAATTAAACCAGAGCTTGTAAATCGGAAACAATATCTAATCATTTTTAAGTATTTTATTATGTAATATTGGTTAACTATGGAGCACAACTCTAGTTTGAGAAAGCTCAGAAAATGCTAGCTGCTTGGTGATCGACGTGAGCAATTTATATTGATGTCAAGTTCGTGTCAGAGGAAACTATGGATAGGAGAGGGATTTAACATGATACAAGTGAATAGGTGGATAGCAAAATTTATCTTGTCCAGATGGCATAGAAGCTCATTGACCCCCAAATTCTCCTAGACTAAGAGTCTAGTGTAAACTAAGATCCTAGAGAAAGAGTTGAAGATGATGATTTTTTGGTGTAAAATTGTGTAATTTAAGCACCATTCGAGGGCTTGCTTGCATTTAGAAAGTTATATGTGTTACTTGTTAGAGATTCAACGTGTAAATCCAAACTTTTCTTTTCGAGGTTTATATTAATATAGGGTCATAATAGAACATGTATACACTTATTAAGTATTCGTTCAGGAAAATGATACAAGTGAACAGGTGGATAGCAAAATTTATCTTGTTGCAGATGGCATAGAAGCTCATTGACACCCAAATTCTCCTAAACTAAGAGTCTAGCGTAAACTAAGAGCCTAGAGAAAGAGTTGAAGATGATGATTTTTTGGTATAAAATTGTGTTATATTCCAATTCGTAGTGTAATTTAAGCACCATTCGACGGCTTGTTTGCATTTAGAAAGTTATAGGTGTTACTTGTTAGGGATTCAACATGTAAATCTGAAGTTTTATGTTCAAGGTTTATGTAGGTCAAATAAAACATGTATACACTTATTAAGTATTTGTTCAGGAAAATGATAAGATGAGCTCACAGCTAAAACTCGGGATAGTAATTTACATCTTTTAACTATTTAAGTGGTTATTCTGGAGTAGGAGTAGGGGAAAAGAAAATTGCTTTTGTCCTGTGAACGACCAAATTTGCATACGATGAAACTATATTCCTAATTCCAAAATTTGAGTCATTTGACCATTTAGCGGTTTGAGAAGTCATTGTTTCTGTAGCTCTTGTGAATACACCAGTTAGAAAAGGAAAGGCTGGGATTTATGGACTATAATCAGAGTCTCAAACATGCATTTTCCTGAAGTGAAGGGATTTTATCTACTATTGTTATTTACATAACCTGTTAGGTTAACAAAGTTGTAGCTACTAAACATCACTGTTTGCATTAACTTGACATTAGAAAATAATAAAGAAGAATAGAAGACTACAGTTAGCTGTAGGATTGTACTGTTCTTTTGGTTTAGGATGTTCTAAAAATTCATTTCTATTCATCTATTTGAGTTTTTAGATTAGAAACAATGGATATGTGGTGACAACTTTTGTTGAATGAGCTACAAGAGATAGACTAGTAGTGAGGCTCATCCCACCAGTCACATTGGAGTAGGTGGACTGCACCACTCCTATTCCGTCGTAGTTTGTTTTGCTAAATGTGGTGACAGTTCTATCTAGTATTCCCTTTTAAATTTAGTCGCATTCTTGATGGACTAATATTATACCCCTGTTGTGAATAATGTGTGGTAAGCTGGTTTGTAAGAAAATGGTAGAGTTCTTTATTTTTTATTTATTTTGTTTTTTTACACAATAATACTGTTATAGGGTCACCAGTTGGTTTTCAGAAACCATGTGGCTGCTTCGTGCATGTTTTTCTTTTTACCAAGAACAATGATCTTGTTTGTACTTCCGACTTTACATTCTTGACTTTCACTCTATTATCTGGTATAATAAGTTTGGATGTAGGGTTTCAATAGGATGATTGAATATAAAGGTGTATCAATGCTTGTTTGGCCTACGCTGTGGTCTGTAGGCTGTCAACTTATCAGTTGCCGGTGAAAATACAAAGAGATACGCACCATCTTTTCTAATAAATAAATAAATAAATAAAAATACAAAAAATAAAAAGACACAGAGTGTTTTATGTAAGTAAAGAGAATAAGAGTAGCCCAGCATCCTGAACGAATGGAAATATCTTAAGTTGAAAGCATGCAAATTTTTAAAATGTTGTTCAAGCATTTTTGGTGCTAGCTGTGATTTCAAAGTCTTTCTTTTCGTTCTCCTCTGTTCCATCCTTGTCTATGTATTATGACAAATTCTTATCTTCTATCTAGTATAGGCATGAAATGGTATATTATTCCAGCCATACAGAATGTTTTTGATAAATTCACCTGTGGTGATACTCTAGTAATTATTAAACCCATGAACTTCGACACGCAGTGAAGGTATTGAATTAAAAATAGGAATAAAGCTTTCTTGAGGAGAGAAACATAAGGGAATAGGAGCAAGTGGCTGTGTAATATCTAGTTAAACCGGGATGATTTCTCAGAATCCTCGCACTGCTCGGGAATCAGGATGCAGGATCGGCTAATATTTCACCATAACTGAAAAATTGATAGCACAATGGTTTGAGGATTGGCATGTCATTTCAGATTGTTGATTAGAAAATACCTCTTCTGATTGTTTAAAAATAGGTATCTAATGTTCTACCTCTTTTCTTGCAAAAAATTATCTTGCATGAAGTTCTAATTCATGGCGGTTTTGCTGTGAGTAAATAAAGGGTGCATTGAATTGTTTCGAACTTGATTAATCTACATTGTATTTATATCCAACTAAAAGTAGTTACTGCAGAAGTGTACATAATTAATCCATAACCTGATTACGCACTTAAAGACTTTTACTTGTGATTCGTCTAGACATCTTTGTCTCCATACTAGTCAGTCCACTTATTCCAAAGTGTAAGCTGGAGTCATGGGAAAAATTTTCTTTTAAATTATTAAGTATTTTGCAGTAAATATGACATTTAAGTATAATTTTTATTCCAGGTGAAACTCATGCATGAGGCGGGTTACGAGCTTGGAAACTTAGATGCCACTCTGATACTACAGAGGCCGAAGCTGAGCCCTCATAAAGAAGAAATCAGGGCAAATTTATGTGAGCTTCTGGGTGCAGACCCAGCTGTCGTTAACCTGAAAGCAAAAACCCATGAGAAGGTTGACAGTCTCGGTGAAAATCGGAGCATTGCATGTCACACTGTGGTTCTTCTTATGAGAAAATAAAGGGTTCTTCCTTTAGGGCAGTGGGAATGTTTCATGTTGTATTTGTTGACATTGAATACATACATTGTCATTTGTATTTTGGAACTCTTCTACATACCAAATGTATGAGAACTCATAAGAAAAATAAGAAGTATATAACTTTTTTATGTTAATTTTTAAGAAACAGTGCCCTGTTCTCCAGGAAATTTGGGGGTTTACTGCGCCTTTAAATGAGCTCTCAGTTGTGTGAGATACTATCAGTACTGTATAAACTTTGAGCTTCGTTCTCGGTGCGTCTTGATTTAAAGATGAATCTATAACATAGAGCATTTTCCTTTGGAGACGCATGTACTTTACGTCTTGATTTAAAGATGAATCTATAACATAGAGCATTTTCCTTTGGAGACGCATGTACTTTATGACGCATGAATTTTGTGACGGCAATTCTGAAATTGCTTCCTTAGCTAATATTGATGTGTTAGGTCCTATGATCAGATTTATAACGATCAAACTTTTTTCAAAGTTGTTCAATTATCTGGTTACATCTGATTATGGAGGCCTACACCCTTTCAAATGCCTCTCTTCCTATTGTTTTCCTTCATGGTTCAAGTTTAACAACATGTCTCTGTTCTACACGCAATAATCTCACCCTTTTTCTTTTTTGGTGGAACAATGACTTCCTGTTTTTTCACCTGCAAGAATTTAAAGAAACAACTGAAAATATAGAATCAGTTAAAAATAGCAGTATACACCACGCAACATAGAAGAACCAAAATACCAATATTACAAATTAGAAATAGCAACTCAAAACAAAAAAAAAAAAAAACAAAAAGGGATTACACAATAGAAAATAGAAATAATGATGGAAAGGAACATATATGCCGAGATGAGCTCCGTTCCTTTGTTTCACCAAACAAACACTAGTCATTTATCTCAAAATACGTACATAAACGGTATTACCGTTAAATCTTAACAGAGAAGTAGGGCACAAATCTATAAAATTTCTTCATAAAATTTCTTCATCCCCACTCTCTCCATGACAAATATCCATAAAATTTCTTCATCCCCACTCTCTCCATGACAAATATCCATGCTAAAGAATAACCCGAGTCACATATTATTGCATGAGTCACACCCTCTATAAGTGAGCACAACTTATGACAAGATGAGTGACAAAGTGAAACTTCCCATTCTTAACAACAATGTCATAATTATTCAAGAACTAATCATCAACGTCTTCTACTAATCCTATGAATGTCGTAGCGTGCAATTATTTTATGGAAAGGTGATCATTCAAAATGAGGAATGCACTCCTCATGAATCCTTAGAGATAAGGAGTGATCATTCTATAAGGGGAAAGCAAAGAATGCCTCATGTGAAGAATTCCTCATGTGGATTTAATGGGTTGAAAACACTAGGATCAAAAAGCTCACCTTGCCAACAAAAGAAGTTGAAGGCTAAAGAAGTATCTGGGGGTGCATTTAAAGAAAGGGTAATTAGAATAGAGACGTTCCATCTAGAGACCAAGTTACTTATAACCAACCATTGCTTCAAGAGAAACATTTATGCACTTTGCAAAATTCCATGGTAGGGCCAATAGTATTTCTTTTTTTCTTTGATTTTCCTCGTTGCTCTCTCCTAAAGCTATGTGCTAATGATTTCAGCTTTTCAAACTCTTAAGCTTTTAGTTACTTTTAATAAATCTCATTGCGATGGATCCAAGCAAAAGCCCTCTCATGTCAATGAGGTGAGTTATTTGCGTCAATCAGTCAGAAACAAACAAAAACTTAAGCATCTCTCTCTCTCTCTCTCTCTCTCTCTCTCTCTCATTTCTTTGTATACCGTACGTAGAGATCGTTATTAAACATGTATCATTTAAACTGGTATGATATCAATCGTATTCGTTGTCAATTTAGATTAACAATAAAACAGGGTTCAGATGATGACTGGATTGAATTTTCCCTTCAAAGATATATAATCAAACTTGTACGAGGATTCTTGGAGAAATATATAGCATGAAAATTAATCAGAATTTAGCTACCTAACTTTTCCACAACTTTCATATTGTTTGATTTGTCGATTGTTTATTAAAGAAGAGGACAAATGAGTTCGTCTCTAACTTCGGTTCCATTGTTATAGTTAAGAGCACCTTTTGGAGTTCCATTATTGACTGTCGTCACCTCAAATTCCTGCTAGTGCGACATCTTTAATTATTCTTTTTAATTTTTATTTTTTTGGGTAAGACAACATCTTTAGATGTTATACAAACAAGAAAGAGACTTATCTTGGGGATAATCCAAATATGGAAAACACGGTTTTCTTATATAAAATTAGAAGGGGAATGATTTATCGAAGAAGTAACATGCTTATGGTGTGTAAATAAAATACGAGAATTGCTTTTTATATTACAAAAATGCTGTATTATTTTAGTATTAGAAGAGATTGACACGAGAGCCTAACCTCCTTGACCTAGACATTAGTGCTGGAGTTTTTGTTTCGAACAATTTTTCAAAACAGCCTCATTTTATTTTTATTTTTAAAATCGACCGATTTTTTTTTATTTACCAAAATCGATTCGTTTTTTGCCACGTCAGGCTAATCACCCTCCTAAATAGTCGGGGTTGCTAACCCCGACTATTTAGGAGTGCGTTAAACCCCAATTAGAAATCTAAAACCTTAAAATTTTATGTCCTAAATAGTAGGGGTTGGCAACCCCGACTATTTAGAACAGTGATTAGACTGACGTAGCAAAAATCGGATCGGTTTTGGTATAAAAAAATCGGTCGCTTTTAAAAATAAAAAAAATAAAATGGGGTTGTTTTGAAAAATTATTCTTTTTTGAACTGAAAAAGCAGGGTTGGAAGCCCTGCTCATTTGAAGATATTATTAATAACCAAAACATGACAGATAAACATCACAACTAGGTGAAGATCCACTGAGGGTGAAGCAGATAAGGAGCGGACATATGTCTTCACCTACCAAAATTATTCTTTTTGTTTTTTGTTTCTTTTAAGAAAAATATTCGTACTGGAGTTGTACAGTACTAGTGATAATTTGTATCATAATTAGCATCATAGGATGTACCCTATTACTGTGATGCCTCAATTGTTTGTTCCATTATTTCGTTTAACCAATTTGTTAGTGGTTTATAAATTTTACCTTTTACCCTGCTGGAAGTTTCCTCACCCATGCATGTTTGTTTAGGATAAACTTTTTTAGCCATGTTATCCTTCCCTTGGCACTAACGTTAACGGTAGAATATTAACTATTTTGAAACAATAATGTGAGTAATTAAGATCCTTACTCTCCCATTAACATTTAGGGACCAAGTTTCATTAGAAGTAAGGTCAACTTCTCATGTGCATGCTGCTTCTGTTGCTGGAATTTCAGTTTCCACAGCTGGGGGGTGATTGATCTGCTGGAATGAAGACTAAGCTCAAGAAAGAAGTCTGCTTTTGTGGTCTAAATATGAAAAAATGTATATGTGTTGATCTTTTGATACAGTTTTTGATATTTTGTTATCAATTGCTAGGGGGTGAAGAGTTTAGGTGAAGCTGACTGTAAAACTATGATAATCCAGGGTATTCATTCTTGGTTGGGGATGAATACTTTTTTTGTAACAACCAATTTTGTTTAATTTAGCTAGCTGGATTACTATGTTGGTAATCCATCCTTTTTCTCAAAAAAAAAAACTTCTCATGTGCATAAATTATGATCAATGTAATGTAAACCGTTACGTACCACATTACCACCTAGAATTTCTCCTAACATTTAGGAGCTGCCTACCCGTGTGGGTCAGATAAATTAACCACACAAAAAATTCTCCGATAATTAGTCTCAAATATTAGATGGTCGCCACAAATTTTAGCACAAAAAAGCCTAAAATCAAAATGTTGAGTTTGGCTAATTAAAAAGGGAGCCCCACAACAATTGATGATGATTAAAATATATACAATTATAACCCTCCTCTATCATCATGAACGTTAGAGTTTTGGTACAACTAGAGGAACATTTATATGGTATTAGAACAATCCATGTTCAATTTCACGTCGCTAAGTAGGTTAAGGTTTCGGCCACGACATCCTGCGAGGTGCGTTTAAAAAGAAGATTATAACCCTAAATTCCGACCGTAACTTCTGTGTTGTGTTTGAGTGTAGTGAAAAAGACTTTTGACAACGATTGCATACGATATGGATGCAAACCTTGATGAATAACTTGTGATTTTCTGCGAATCATGTTAGAACCTTTCGTCACGGCATAGTGTTGGGCCAGGGGCTGTGCTTCTATTAGAGACGTGAAAGAATTGGGGCGTCATCTGGTTCGTTGTTAGAATTTTGAGGTCATGAATGGGCCCCTAGCGCAAATGATGATGCATTAAAGACTTTGATGGGTGCAGTGCATATTATGCCATGTGTGATTCCTATATCTATCATCGGGCCCATAGAAGATCAGTCTAAGCTAATACTTCTCATATAAGTACTTGTATACATGTGTGTGTCATAATATATATATAATATATATAATAATATAATATAATAAATATAAAAATATATATAATTATAAATAATAGAGAGAGAGAAGAATGCGAGAAAGAGAAGCAAAATTGGGTATCTGGGATACCAAAACACAAATATTTGTGCTTGGTAAGTAGATAGTGATCCAATATAACCTATACCACTCACTAACCCCATGTGAAATTAGAATTCACACACATTGAATAGAGTGGAGGGGAATTATAAATACCTCACTAATATAAGGTGACACAACTTTTTGTGTTGTACGCAAGCATACCACATATTTACCATATAAATATATATATTAAAATAATATATAATAAATATATAATATAAAATATAAGAATAACTAATATAATATAATATATATATATAATATATAATATTATATATTATATATAATATATATTATTATAATAATATAGTATATATATAATAGGAGTTGGTAGCCAAACATAAATTTTGATGTTTGGTAGTGAGGCGGTACAATCCTTCAGTCATTCAAATGAGGAGAGCCAACATATATCATGGGTGAGGAGTCATGGGATATGCACCATTTGAATGACTGACAGGAATGATATGATCACCTCACTATCATAGCTAACTCGATTGTCTCTCCTCTCATCCTCTCTCTCTCTCTCTCTCTCATCATATAATATATACTATTATA